CGAAGAGTTGTCGATAAATATATCAAGAAAGGAGAGTTTACCATCATTCTCTTTTTCGAAAGTGAATTTTATGTTGGGGTGCTGTGAATTAATGTAATCAAAAAATGACATAGCATCCTGTTTATTGTGGAAGACACAGAAGGTGTCGTCAACGTAACGCCTATAAAGTAGAAGGCGAGTCGAATGGTTAAAATTATTTAGCCACGTTTCTTCGTGGAAACCAAGAAAAAGATTAGCTAGGATGGATGCTAACTGAGAACCCATCGCTACCCCATCAACTTGATCATAAAATTTTCCATTAAAAAGAAAATGAGTCTCAGCTGTAGCGAATGAAAACAGTTTCTTGAGGTCGGATTTTTTGATCGAACATTTAGCGTCATGCTTAAAAATAAGATCAACAGCAATATCGATAATTACATTTAACGGAATATTGGTAAAAAGACTTTCAACATCAAAGGAAATGAGAAACTTGTTGTTATGATCGAAACTCCTGAGTATTTATTCATCTACTTTTCTGTTATATAATTTCTCACGTTCTGTTACTTATTGATTGAAGATGGCATAAGCATGCCGAAGCATGTCTCTCAAAAAAGTTGTATATTTCTTACAATATTTATCATACTTGCTGCTACAACGACCATATATATATATACACCTTGCTTATATATATGCACTTAGCCTTCGGGCGAACTCATCACCTTAGTTGTGATTTGAGCACTCTCGCATGGCAACATGCCTGCACTTGGACCCACAAGTGTAGCGCCCAGGCAATGGTTTATTCCAGAGCTTGGCCCAGTGTCTGCACTGCACTGACGAGACCCACATAGGTCGAAACAGTGTGCACTCTGTCTGCAGTTATATATATATATATATATATATATATACATATATATATATATATATATATACATATATATACATACATTTATTGTTCAAGTCGTGCTGTTGCCATGAATTTCATTCGCCTTTTCGCTTAGTGGTTGGTTCATTTATGCACGGTGCTTCTTTCAACAAATGAAATTCGGAGGCATTGTTAGGAATTGTGAAGTTCTGTCGAGGACCCTCACCGTTATCTTTTTAGGGTGCTCCCGCGGAAAATTTAGACGATGACGTAATGGAAACACGCTTAATGGGTGACATTGCTCTCGACAGACTGCTCCAGAAGAATGTGATCAGTGTGGTTTTGTGCGTAGTGTGTCTCATTAATTAACGCATTTATCTGAGGAAATTTAATCTTCTCTTATGTTTTTTTTGTTTCCAAAAAAAAGTGAAAAATGTGTCCTAGAAACCAGTTTTTTAGCATAACTTCTCTAGTTTCATAGATTCACCAAAGCGAAAAATTAGAAGCTGCGACTCTACCTTAACGAGGAGACCACGTTTTCTCTACCGCTCCAGAAATGAAACATTCAGTATGGCCAAAGCTTGGTCGGAAATGTCGTGATTGACTTTGCCGTGACCAAATTTCTTTGTTTTTGTTTGTTTTTTCTTTTCAACGCGCGAATTTTTGAAAGTTTCCAAAGTAATAAAACAAAAATCACCGATAGCAAATTATTTACTACGGTTTTACTTAGAACGTGGCGATGCCTTCTCCTGTAAAGGTGAAACAGAGGTCTGACTTCATATTCAAAATACAGTGAAGACTTTGTGCCAGGGGAAAAGCTCTCTCAAGAAAACTGTAGGATAATTTCTGAATTAACGCGCGCTGGATGTCACCGTTGTCGTTTTGCGAGCAAGGTCTCTAAGAAGCTAGCCAACTTAAGGATTCTCTCTGCCAACATGCCTACTTTGTTAGTTAAAAATTACTAAAATTGCAGTCTTGATTATGCTGAATTAATTTGTCACCTCTGGTTACTTTGTAGGTTGCTCACAAGCGCTTGGTTTGGAAAGCGGGAAAATCAGCGATTCCCAACTAACTTCCTCGGATGTTTTTCCAGGTTTTAGTCCATCGGAGGGAAGACTAAATAATGATAAGGCCTGGTGCCCAGCTGAAAATACGCAGTTCTTTGAAATCGACTTATTGAAGGTCAGGCATGTCTCAGCCCTCGCAACTCAAGGATACCAAGGAAAATTCAATAACTATGTTAAAACATTTGAGATAAAGTACAGTTATGATGGTGCAACTTGGTTTGATTACCAAGATGAAAACGAAAAAAAAAAGGTACGGAATACCTAACTTTGTTTCATAGCTAGCAGTGCAAGAAAAACAAAGTATTGATTCTTTCCCACGGAAAACGAGACAAGAGACGTTTGTGACATGCCTGAGCAAGAGCGGAATATGCATTTGTGAAGACCTTTTAAAAACGTAACGAAAACTGATAAAATAACTTTATCTTTAAGGTGGTCAAATGAAAAACGAGCACGCGCTGGCTTTCTTTCCCATGCAGCTCTCTATAGTAAAGTTCTTGATTTTGCATTAAGCATATCTATTGCTATATAACAAACGCTTTATTTTGAGCAATAGTGAAAATCAGACCTGAAAAAAATTTCAGGCCTGTACGGGACTCGAACCACTGACCTCTGCGATACTAGTGCAGCGCTCTACCAATTGAGCTAACAAGCCAACTGGGAGCAGGCCATCAAATTAATTCGATATAAACCCGTAGATGATAAATCAAACAACAACAAACATATGAAACATATGTGTGAACTGCGGTTATGAGACGTATATGAGAACGATCCTTCGCAGTAAAGCACTATTTGAGCAATAGTGAAAATCAGACCTGAAAAAAATTTCAGGCCTGTACGGGA